TTTCTTACATACTTCTTAAGAAAAAAAATTTTTAAAGTTTTAAAAAAAATAATATCTCTTAAAAATTTTTCAACATTTTTAACATTCCTAACATTTTTAAAGAAATATCTCAACATCAATTAAAAAAATATCTCTAACATTTTCTATTTTTTAAAAAAACAGGTATTAATTAAAAAAATACCTTCATCATTCCTATATTTTTTAAAGAATATCTTCAACTTCTTTATATTTAAAAAAACATTTCTATATATCTTCGAAAAAATATATCCAACATTTCTATATTTTTTTTGTGGCATTAAAAAAGTAAACACACGTGTCAATAATTTATTTTTTTCGAAAAATATATCCGACATTTCTATAAATTTTTTTGAGAAATATCTTTATAATAATTTTTTTATCTCCAACATTTCTATATTTAATTAAAAATATCTCTAACTTTCTCGATTTTTTTTTAAAAAAAATTAAGTAATATGAGTAATATGAGCAAAATGAGCGATATGAGCGATATGGTGAGGGTTATTAATGCTGACATCGTTGATAATTTTGACACGTCTTCTCAAGCTGCTAATTTTCCAAATATAATTTCGAACAACAATAACAACAGCAGCAGTAGCAGCAACAACAACAGCAACATCTTTGGACCACTACAACCACTACGGCAAACTCAATATCCGTCACCACCGTCGTATTCTCAAGTTACACAACAAGTAGAAGTTACGATTTCGAATTCTCAAGTAAGCCACGAATCATACTCAAGAAATCATAATCATCGAAATAGAATTATTATTCCTCAACAAAATAATCAAGTACAATTCAATGCTGCCCGATTTATTACGCATCCAACTCAAGAAAATTACATTAATACTGAATGGTATATTAATGGTGTTGCTATGGAATTGTCTGTTGATACCAACATTTCAAGTCAGTATCAAGTGGACCAACAAATTGTTGATTATAATTTTCCCAATTATTATGACCAATCCTCTGATCAACATTTCAATTTCAACTTTTAACATCAGGTAAACTCAATAAGTCTATTATTATTTATATTTTCAATTACTTTAAACAATTGATTGCTTATAGAGTTTACTTGTTATAAGATTTAAGATTTATATATTTTATTAATTAATAAATTTATTTAATTTAATCAAATCTTTTTTAAAATAAAAAAAAGTTTATACTAACTATACTACTACTACGATTATTATAAATTTTGATTGTCAAATTTCATACTTTAAAGAAAACCAATTCACGCCAATATTTCGATTTAATAATTTAAATCTGGTTATTTGATTCATTCACCGTCATCTGTACTAGAAAAATATTGAAACGTAATTTCTTATATAAAACTATACTAGGTAGATTCATATTTTTAGTATTAATAGATTGAAAAAGATCATGATCAACTATTAATTTTCTAGATATGACTATTCATATAAAGCCAAACTATTGCCGAAATCACTTTTTCACTTAATAATTTTTTTCATTGGTGTAGAGAAGAGATTTTTTACAATAAACAATAAACACTTAATGGAATCACCATTCGACGTAATTTATTGATTGTATTATTTAATACGTTAGCATGATTATTTTTTTATTAACTGTTATCAGCTATTCATTATTTTTATTTATGATTTACGAATATGAAGAAATACAATTATACAATTATAGAATTATGCCATATGTTGCACATCACTTAGATTAACTAAGCCCGGTGCCGGTTGCGGTCTGACCCAACGGGAAACTAAAAATCAATAAAAAAAAATTTTTTTTTCATAACTACTTTTTTGGGGTATTTTTTTTTTTTTGGGAAAACCCCAAAAAGTAATTGTTGTTGCATAAAAATTTGGCTATAAAACGACGCCGCACAATACATATAAATATACATGCATTATTATGCATTAATGCGAAACAGCTGAACAATTGATGGATAAAAGGTGAACTTAAATGCAATCCATTATAAGAATTATTTGCAGTATTAGTAATAATAACATGTTTTATTTGAAAAGCAAACCAAGAGCGTTTGATTGGTTGGTTGATGTTTTAAATTATCGTGTGAAAATATTCATATTGTGTAATCGGTCTATAGTATGCTAATAACAAATAAATAGAGCAGATTTTAAATGAAATTTTTATCAGTATTATTGTAAAAGTCGCAACTTCTACAGGTAAATTGACATCATATTACCTACCATCAATTAAAAATATAGGGTAAATATATTTAAAATTACAATCGGCTCATTTATGATCATTGATTAAACTTTTAAATGGTAATTTTACAATTGTCATTATAAATATTTTCGTATTAAAACATACTTTGAAAATTTCCTTGTTAAATAATTGGCTTCTTAAATTAAACTTATTGATTTATTAATGGGTATGGTGGTCTTGACCGGTCTGAGATACCACAAATATTAAATTGTCTGTTAGTAATTTTGAAATATTTATTGTCACTAACCGTTCACCTCTTTTATTACATTAATAAAAATCGAATTAATTATTTATAACATTTTGTTGGAAAATAAAATGCACCGGTAAAGAAAGTCCAATTATTTGTTACATTCTACCTGCAATAACCACCATATTGGCAATAATAATTGATTGACGATCCGTCTAGAATATTTACCTTCGAAATTTTATTGCCTGCAAATGTATTTCTATGGAGAAAGTCAGATGATGTGTATGAAATATATGTCGTATGACTAGTTTCGATATAGATAAAAAATTCAATTATTTAAATCATGTGACATAATCAAACTATTTTGAAAAATACCATTCATTACATTTACTATAAAAATAACAGGTTAATACGACGCCAAGTGAATATCATTTATGGTAAAACGGGCGGGAATTGTGCATTGTTTATAAATGATTTATGTTTTGCATATCAATCAATTTAAATTAATAAAATGTCACAACAAGATTACGTCGTTAAAAAAAAATAATAATAACAGGTTAATACCAGAAAAAATGCAGATCATGTAAAGTTTTGTGACATTTCCGTTGTTTTATACAAAAATACTCGAAAACTAATGAGAAAACATGACTTTTTGTTCTAAGTAACAATACTCCAAATGTTCAAATTGCATATTTCTATCAATATTCATCACCTAATAAAATATAGTTTTTGAGTAATATGTAACTTCATAAAATCGTTTAAAAATGCTAGTTCTTGAGACATTCTTTTGTCCGATAAAATAATCACACATAATAATAAAATGTCTGAAGACTTCACAAAAGGATTTAAATTATAGCGAACAAAATAAAAAAAAGATGATTAAAATTCGTCAGAAATTGATAAAGTTGCATGTATTGAGAAAATTTACAAATAATTTTTCGAAAATTTATTAAAATTATTAAATTATCTAATATGTAAAATTTAATGACAAAACTTTGAGACTTGTTTTAAAAACAATAAATTATTTGTTTTGAATGTATTGAAATGATAGAAATAAGAGAACTTACAGATTTTGAACGGGGTGCTATTTATGGATTACGGTAAGACAAAAAGATTAATAAAATTGCATTTTGAATTTTGAATCGAAAAATTATTTGTAAATTTTCTCAATACATGCAACTTTATCAATTTCTAACAAATTTTAATCATCTTTTTTTTATTTTGTTCGCTATAATTTAAATCCTTTTGTGAAGTTTTCAGACATTTTATTATTATGTGGATATTTTATCGGACAAAAGAATGTCTCAAGAACTAGCATTTTTAAACGATTTTAAGAAGTTACATATTACTCAAAAACTATATTTTATTAGGTGATGAATATTGATAGAAATATGCTATTTTGAACAATTGAAGGATTGTTACTTGGAACAAAAAGTCATGTTTCTCATTAGTTTTCGAGTAATTTTGTGTAGAACAACGGAAATGTCACGAAATTTACATGATCTGCATTTTGTCTGGTCATTTTTGGCGGGGGTGTATATGACTTTCCTTCGGAAATTAAAGACTTAGACCACTAACAAATTTGGATGTTATGACTGAATAAACGAAATTTAGAGCAACTTCATTATTAATAAAAAGTCAGAACTCAAGCATGGTCTATTTTTTGATCTAAAAATAAAAATTCAAGTATAATTATTTTGGAAAGTTTGAAATGGTGTTGGTTAGTGTGTGTATCGCCACTTTTCTAAATGGCACTTTTTCGATTTTACAATATAAATTGTCGAAATAATAATATTTTTTACTAAATTCTGAAATTTTGTCAAGATTTTCATGGAAAAATTCTCATGAATAAGGTTGGTTGTATTGGTCTGGCCTGCTATATACCAAAGACTGGTCTTTAAATATGGATCTGGACTGGTTAAAGACTCCAGTTAAAAGAACGGTCAAAGACTAGTTAAGCGTTGGTTCAATGACGGTTTGGATATATTATAAATTGTATTTACAAAAAACTACAAATTTATTTATTTTATAATGTCCAAGCTTTTCACTTAATGACCAAGAATTATTATGATTTATCAAGAAATGTGATAATATTTATTTTGCAACCAAGTTTTGTGGAGTGTAAAATTAGGATAGCAAAGCACGTACTAAGTTTGTTTAGAACAGAGAACATTTTATCATCAATTTTCATTAAGATTATACAATGGATATAGGGTGATTTTATTTTCTACAATGACAAACAGGAGAGAACGTACTGGGAACACAAAAATTAACAGGAGGGAATACAAAATTTTAACCCATGCAATTTGTTGA